CACACCCAACCTCACAGTGCCTCAGGCCCCTGTGCCACACCCAACCTCACAGTGCCTCAGGCCGCTGTGCCACACCCAACCTCACAGTGCCTCAGCCCCCTGTGCCACACCCAACCCCTGAGTGCTTCTTGAAAGCAGTGCTCATCTCTTGGGTTGAGATGAGAGCTTAAGTTAAGGCTGGAAGGATAGTATGTAGTGATGATCCAGAGCTCAGAATATAAATAATTTAGGAGAACAAATATGAAGAGAATGGTTTACAACTGTTTCTTCATTCCTGTTAGATGGGAAAACTATAAAATCAGATATTTGAAAATTTGAGTTTTTAATAGAATTACTGGGCTTGAAATGAGTGTAATTAATATTTTCCTTGGCTCTGATGACCTCAGCTCTTGAGCCTTTCTTGTGACCACCAGTACGAAGGACCACCCTTGCGTGAGGCTGCCAAGGTGTCTGCCGCCCCTGTGGTGGCTTTTTCCCTAGAATTGTGCTTCTTCAGTTTCTCTCTCTGGCCAAGGCTGTAAGGTGGTGCAAGTAGATGGCACCTAGTCGGGGGCTCTGTCCCTTCCCTGAACCCTAAACGAGTGTTTGAGGAGGAGCATCAGCATACGCCAGTGAGCTAGGGATCACACATGTAGCAGGTGTTGCTTGCGGCCCCTGAGTTAGTGTTCTGTGTCTCCCTGCAGGTTTCTGTTTACAGATTACAACAGACTGTCCAGTGTTGGCGGGGAAACTTCTCTGGCTGAGATGATTGCGACCCTCTCAGATGCTTGTGAGAGAGAGTTCGGCTTTTTGGCAACCAGGCTGTTTCGAGTTTTCAAGACTGAAGAGAGCCAGGGTGGGATTCCCTTCCTCCTCCTCCACTTCCTCCCCTTCTTTCCTTTCCTCCTCCCCTTCCTCCTGCTCCTCCTCCCCTTCCGCCTCTTACTCCTCCTCCCCCCTTCTTTGTCCTCCTCCCCTTCTAACTCCTCTTCCCCTTCCTCCTGGCCCTCCTTCTCTTCCTCCTCCCCCCTTCTCCTGCACCTCCTCCCCCAACCCCTGCCTGCCAGCTTTCTTTGTGAAGGCCCAGCTTGTACATCAATTATCAAATGCTGTGACTGCAGTGAGTCCTTAATGTGTTGAGTAACAATAGCTCATATCATCTGTTGTCTTACAGGTAAAAAGAAATGGAAGAAGACATGTTGCCTGCCATCTTTTGTCATCTTCCTTTTTCTTTTTGGCTGCATTATTGCCGGAATCACTCTTCTGGCTGTCTTCAGAGTGGACCCGCGACACCTGACAGTGAATGCTGTGCTCATATCTGTTGCTTCCGTTGTGGGGCTGGCCTTTGTGCTGAACTGCCGCACCTGGTGGCAGGTGTTGGACTCGCTCCTGAACTCCCAGAGAAAGCGGCTCCATCATGCTGCCTCCAAATTGCACAAACTGAAAAGCGAAGGATTCATGAAAGTAAGATGCAGGTGTAATGCGCATATTCCACCAGTGCTTTGTTCTGGGGTTGTAGGAATGTATTCTCTGAGCATTTAGGTATTGTGGTTAGTGTATTCAAGAAGTTTTTAAAAGCTGTCCTATTTACAGCTAAATTCAGAAAAAGAGAATAGAGATGTCCTTCCACTTCCTCTCAGGCAGTGCTGGGATTATAGGTTCATGCCACCACAGCTGGCTGTGTCTTTTTGTCTGATCTACTCCGATAGCCTGTGTCTTTAATTAGTGTGCTTAGACTGTTGATGTCAAACAGATTATCGACATAGATGGGATTAGGCTCTATCATTTTTGGTGCTGCTTTCTATTTGTTGCCCTTGTTCTTTGTTGCTGTATTGTGTCTTCTACTCTTCTGTGGTTTATTATTATTATTATTTTTTTTTGTGGAACCGGGGATTGAACTCAGACCCTTGTGTTTGCCAGGGAAGTGCTTATTCTACTGAGCCATCTCCCCGGCCCCTCTTCTGTGGTTTTAATTGAGCATTATTTTTGCATCAGCCCCGGAGTTTTCAATATACATTTACAACTAATCAAAGCCCATATCCAATAATACCACTGTAGGGCCAGGGATAGAGCTCAGTGGCATAGCATCTGCCGGGCAGACACAAAGCCCTGAGTCCACTTCCCAGTACAACCACAACAAAAGCCTACTGTGTATATACCCCTTCCCAGGGATGCTCCTACTTCATCTCTCCTGTCTGTAATATCTGTGCTATCATTCATTCTGCTTAGCTGTATAAATGTGTGTATGCGTAGGTAGGTAAGGTTGTGCTAGTCAGCTCTCCTGTGCCTGGAACATGATGCCTGACCCCACAGTTAGAGGAGGAGAGGTGTGAGTGGTTCATGGTTCAGGAGATTCAGCTTATGGTCAGCTTCTCCAAGGCAGAAGCCTCAGGGCAGAAGGGTGCAGGGGAGCAAACCTGCTAACTCACCTCGTGGTGCCCTGGAAGCAGAGAGGAGAGCAGTGCCAGAGGAAGGGCGAGGAAGCAGGCATGGACCCCAGGGCCACCCCTCCATCTCCACGCACGCACACACTGAGAGGCGTGCTGCAGCCATCCCCCGGGAGGGTCCCAAATCCCGTCAGGCTGACCATCCATGACGTAGTTCGTGAGCATAAGCGATCGAGGAGTGATGACTTCCAAGATGTGCAATTACATGCTGACCCAGGAGTTTTTGCACTGTTAGTTCTATCCAACGCTTTCTTGTCGAAATAAGTAGGGGTTGAAAGAGATAGCACAGCAGTGTGTTTTTATAAAATGTTCAAAGCAGTTAATGTATTGCTCCACTCTTATAGAGCCTAGTAATATAAGCACACTTTTTTCAGCAAAAAAAGAATTGAACCCCTAAATCATACATTGTAGCTGGGCCCTCCCTTTGATCACAGTCAGCACCAGGGGGAAGCAGCAGTGTTGTGCGCATTGTAGGTCTTTGGGATTTGCATTCAGTTCAGGTCTTCGGCCTCGAGAGCAATACAGCCATGTTCCTGCCCTTCAGTGTCATGCAAAAGTTGGCTGCTATGGTGTGGGCTTGGAGTAGGAGGAACCACAGTGGGCAGAAAGGCCATGGGCATCCCCCCCGCTAGAAGACTTCTTGTCCTGCCTTTGCTTATCTCAGAGCTGGCTGCGTCTCTCATGCAGGTGCTGAAGTGGGAAGTGGAGTTGATGGCCAGAATGGCGAAGACCATCGACAGCTTCACGCAGAATCAGACGAGGCTGGTGGTCATCATCGATGGCCTGGATGCCTGTGAGCAGGACAAAGTGCTGCAGATGCTGGACACTGTACGTCCCAAGTCCCTTATGTCACTATGACAGCGAGAGCACATGCAGTTCCCAGTGGAGTGAACTGGGTCCTTCAGTAGCGAAGTACTGCTCCTCTCGGTTTTTCTTTGTAAGAACCATTCTTTATGAGCAAACAGCAGCAGTAAGTGCTTCCACAGGAAGACCTTTAGGGAAGGAAGGAATGAAGTGTCTCTGAAGTCAAGTGTGGCCTTAGCTTTCTTTGCATAGCTATGGTGAGACTGAGATAACACAGGGCCCTCAAGGCTCATGGTGGAGGGCACAGCGCAGGGCCCTGTGGGGGGTGCTACAGACAGCAGTAGGTGTGGCAGTGGGCAGGGAGCAGTGTGCCTGCGACCTGATGCATGTCTGTGATCTGTATGTGGGCTGCAGCACTCTCAGAGTAGGATGCTGTGGTTCTCTGAAGGCTTCATTATTGTCAGATGGCAGCAGGTCCAGACTGAGCTGTCAGTAGAGTTAGTTTTCTTTTTTTTTTGGTGGAACCGGGGATTGAACTTGGGCCCGGGAAGCGCTTATTCCCCTGAGCTATCTCCCCGGTCCCTAGAGTTGGTTTTCATGAAAAATGAAAACTGTTCAAATTCAGTCCCTAAAAGCTAACACAGATTTTGGAAAGCTCTTTATTTTGGGTAATTTAAATTGTATGTCACAACTATCCATTTCTCCTTCCACAGGTGCGAGTTCTGTTCTCAAAGGGCCCATTCATTGCCATTTTTGCCAGTGACCCACACATCATCATAAAGGCCATTAACCAGAACCTCAACAGCGTGCTTCGGGACTCAAACATCAATGGCCATGATTATATGCGCAACATTGTTCATTTGCCCGTTTTCCTCAATAGTAGGGGACTGAGCAATGCACGGAAATTTCTGGTGACTTCTGCAACAAATGGGGACATCGCATGCTCAGACACTCCAGGTAAGGATTGAGCGCCTGACGTGCTCAGGCTGGAAGTCACTTTGTGGTGACTCTGTCTTTATCCTGGAGAACACTGTCGGTGTTTCTCATCTCTTTCCTGTAACACACAGCAGAGATTTAGTGTAGACAGTGCTACCTTAATGCCTTTCAGGGTGGCAGGAAGACGCCGACCGAAGAGTCTCGCAGAACAGCCTAGGGGAAATGACCAAGCTCGGGAGCAGGACAGCCCTTAACAGACGGGTAGGAGGCTCTCTATTTTGTGCTGTGTCTGTTCATTTATGCAGATAAGATAAGTTGATGTTACTTAAATAAATATTAAATAACTAAATACTGCTGCCTGCACTCACAAATGGCACAGGAGCACTTGAGCATCCACTCCCTTTCAGCCCTGGTGTCAGAGGGCAGGAGACCCTGGCAGGAAGTCGTCCCCTTGCAGGGAAGTTGTGGAGCCAGGGCCACCTAGGGACAGCTAACTTGGGCTAGCATGGCACTGGGTTTCTATCCATTGAATTTGGATATTTTATTTTTATTTTGAAAAGTGTCTCTGGTGACATTTGGACACATACCTCTGCCATTTTCAGGTATGGATGCAAAGCCAATGTGGTGCATGACAATGATGGCACCAAGTTCTCAGGAGTGTGCGCTTTATCACTACAGGTGTGACTCGCGGGAGTCCGCGCTCCAGGGCTGTTGGGGCTTGTGTGCAGCAGTCCCTGGCCCCAGGAACTGTGTTAAGCAACGGCATACCTATCTCGAGCAGGCAGGACTCCACAGGCCTCTCTGCCCTGGAGACTGCCTTCAGTTCTGATGGAGACATGATGGAATGGCCAGATACTTTAAAATGTTGAGTCCTGAGAACCAGTCAGGGGCCTCCTTGCCTTTTTATCATGGGGTTCCTATGTAAGCCTCTGTGGAGGTTGGACATAGTGCTGTCACCAGTTGTGCTCACTCAGAATCTGAAAGGTGCCAAGCTGTCCCAGCTGGACAGCTGCTCGCTGCAGTGCAGGGCCTCCGGTACACTGGCTGCTCGCCTGCTCTGTAAAGGCTTTGTGTGAGGCATGGTCTTGGGAATGCTTTTGTTACTCATAACCTTCCTCCTGGACCGACATGGTGGCTTTTGTGGTTGCATTAACTTTTCCAAAAGCCCTAGTTCTCAGCCCAGAAGTGCAGCTCACCATCCCTGCTGTGTTCTCTCTCAGGATACCTACCGGAGGAGGCAGATGCAGAGGACCATCACCCGGCAAATGTCCTTCGACCTCACAAAACTGCTGGTCACTGAGGACTGGTTCAGTGACATCAGTCCTCAGACCATGAGAAGGTTGCTCAACATTGTTTCTGTGACAGGTGACTTTTTCTTAGTGACTATGGTATCTTATACTGTTAAAGCAGTATACTTTCAGAAGTAAGGGATGTGTGTGTTTATATGTTTACATTGCTAAATGCTGGTGATATTTTTATTTTATTGTGAAAATCAACCATTGGTTGTGCATTATTTTAAAACTTGAAGACTTTACGTCTTTTTTTTTCTGGAGGAACCAAGGATTGAACTCAGGCCCTTGCGCTTGCCAGGCAAGCACTTATTCTACTGAGCCATCTCCTCACCTCTGACTTTAAGTCTTTTACTTCATGTCAGACTAACTTTCTTACTGGAAAGGCTAGAGCAAGGCAGAGTACTTGAATGTGAACCCCAGTCAGTTACTTATCCCCCACCTCTTTTTTTTTCTTCTTCAGTACTGGGGATTGAACCTATTCTGAGACTGGGTCTTACTAAGTTGCCCAGGCTGGGTTTCAACTTGGAATTGTCCTGTCTCAGCCTTCCGGAGTCTGAAATTAATCACCACTACTTCAGGCTTATCCTTTGAATCTTATTCCCATCTATGCAGAAATGTATGCTGTCTCCTGAGCACTGCATGTCGTTGTCAGTGTTAGGAAAATCAGGCAATTGATGAGCTAATATCAGAAACGAGGTTGGGATTTTAGTAGAGGAATATTGATAGTTATTGAAGAGTTTCCTATTTAAAAGTTGTGCATTATTTGAAGTTTTTTTTTGTTGGGCATTTTGGAAGATACAATTTAAAAATAATCTTAGATATCTTCATTGGATATTTCTCTCTCTCTCTCTCTCTCTCTCTCTCTCTCTCTCTCTCTCTCTCTCCCCCCCACCCTCCCCCTCTCCCTTCCTCCTCCCTGCCTCCCTCTCTCTATCTCTCTTTGGTGTTTTAGGACAGAGTCTCCCTGTTTCCCTTAGCAGTTCAGGCTGGCCTTGAGGTCACTCTGTAGCCCACGCTGGTCCCACACATGCAGCAATCCCGGCCTCAAGTGCTAGGATTATAAGCGTGTGCCACCATGCCTGTCTTGCTTTCTTTTTATAGGCTGGCTATATCCTTAAGACAGAATACTTGTTTTTATTCAGTCATGCTTTAAAAACTCGAGTTATTCTGTTCTGTAATGAGCAGTTGCTTCCTGAGCCAGCCCATGCTATATCCTGCATTCTCGCCTTGTCCTGGGCTCTGCTTTTGTGCTCTGTAGTTTAGGCTTGTTCTGGAGATCTGTTTGTGGAAACACATTCCCTCATGCTGTGTGTGCATTGGCTGCTCTTCTGCTGTCCTTTCAGGGCCATGCACACGTCTGTATCTGCAGCATAGCCCTGCGAGTGAGCGGGTCCTTACATTACATCCGGTGGGAACTAGGGGCATGAGGACCTAAGAGCCAGGAAACCCACAGACTCACTCTGGTGCCGGGCATAGAATGGGTACCAAAGTAGAGTCGTTTATTTGAAATTTGTTTTGTTGGGCTTTTTGGAAGACAAAAGTAATCTTAGATATCTAGATAACTAATTGTAGCTCCCTGCTTATCTTTTGTTTCTTCATCTTGCCCAGCATGATCTCGAGATCTCATTGTGTGGAGCTTTAAGTCTCTGTCTCTTTCATCAATAACTAACATACTGAGTGAGTGAGTTTGGCTGCTTGTTTGCTTTTTCAGTATTGGGGGTTGAACCCAGGGCCTCCAGCATGCCAGGCAAGTGCCCAGCCATGTGCTCTCTCCCCAGCTCTGAATGAGTGAGTTTGAAAGACTCAGTAAAGCAGCCATAGTTGGAGGCAGAGCATTCACTGCCTTTGGCCAAGCTGCTATTCTAAGGATCAAATCCAGTTGTTCTGGGATGAAGCTTTGTGTTTATGCTGTTGTAACTTGTATCCCCAGTTCACCTCTAGCTTTATTCAGTTTGAAAATTGTGGGAGATGGAGTGCCAGTGTTGCAAGCCTCTTATTAATGTTTTGCTTTTTGTTGCCTGATATTTTTTAAGTATAAATACTTCAGTTCTGTATTTATAGAGCAACCTGTTGTTGCTCTATTAGACTAGATCTAATAGAGCAACCTGTTGTTGCTCTATTAGACTAGATCTCATCTCTTGTTGTAATCTGTCATTAGCCTATTTCATACTTTTCCTGTTGGTTTGCTGCCTCTCCTGAAGGCTGGACCACTCTACTTTGGTACCTGTTCTATCACCGGCATCAGAACACGTCTGTAGGTTTCCTGGCTCTCAGTTGCCTGTGACCATAGTTGCCACTGGATGGAATGTAAAGACCCTCTCACTCATTAGCAGATCAGAACCCACTTTCCTGGGAAAAGAACTAAGCGATGGCAGTGTAGTTTGTACACATAAGTAGGTTCCTTGAGGGCATGGGATAGGAGAATTGAATGGTGGGCTGTGTATCTAATAGTAGTGGGGAAAGGGCTCATTTGTACTGGAACCTAAACAAATAGGAACCAGTGGTGAGACACAGACCCTGTTGATGATAATGAGGAACTTAACGATAGCTGGATGTGGTGCCATGAATTTAATTGGTATTTGGGAGGCTAAGGCAGGATGGTAAGTTCGAGGCCAACCTGGGCAACTTAATGAGACTCCCTTGGTTGGTTGGTTGGTTGGTTGGTTGGTTGGTAGGTATAGATAGATAGATAGATAGATAGATAGATTGATTGTGCAAGGGGATGTAGCTCAGTAATACAGTGCCTCTAGATTCAGGCCTCAGTATCCAAAACAAAACACACACCCCCATGCACACATGCACAAAACCACAGCAGCAATTCAGAATCTTTGCCAAATAACAGACTTTACAAACAAGTCAGTTGGCAGGTGACTTGTATAGTCAGCCTTTGGTATGCAGAAATGGAAGTGTATGGGATTGTGTGCCCACTTGTACCTACACAAGGGGATGGAGATGACCATGGATGACAGCACAGACTATGTGATACAGTTTGAACAATATTTGCCTGCATATACATAGTAAAACCAGTAGTCAATCACATGCAAAAATCACTATAGACTTAAACAGAATTATGTTCAAGTCCTTAAAATATTTATAGTACAGCTCTCTGGATTTTAGAAACCATGAAAACATTGGATTTGAATTTATAGCATAACTTAGTGACAGATTTCAAAAAATAAATTATTTATAGATATACCTAATATTTCATTTATCACAGTGTTAATCTATTAATATTTAAGTGTTTTTGCATTCCCTGAAGGGAGGTTATTGAGAGCCAATCAGATTACTTTCAACTGGGACCGGCTGGCGAGCTGGATCAACCTCACCGAGCAGTGGCCGTACCGGACCTCCTGGCTCATCCTGTATCTGGAGGAGACTGAAGGTGTTCCTGACCAGATGACATTAAAAACCATCTACGAGAGGTACTGCACTCAGCTGCTTTGGGTAGACCTTTCTCTTAGACTGCCATGCAGACCGGTATCTGTCATGACACCTGTGCTGTGTAACTGTGAACACTGGTTAGGTGAGCACATTGTTACTCAGCTAAAACCCAGCTTGTCCAGCGAGGCCATAGGGCTTAATTGTCACATGATCTGTTTATACATAAAAGCCCTTGATACTCTCATTTACCCTTGCAGTCTTATTGTTCTTACTACTATTCCTGGTATTTGTGTGTAAATAAAAATATGTCAGAGAAGGGATCAGTGTTCACATAAGGCTTATGTAGTAAATTTGAAATTAGGTAACATGGTGGGACACGTTAAGTGGCAGAAGTAATTCAAGGTGGCTTTCTAGACTCTTAGTCTGAAACTGGCTCTGAAAACTATTGTTCACTGGGGATGCAGCCAGGGGCCCACATAGGCTGGGCAAGTGCTCTGCCCTGAGCTGCACCCCAGCCCTGCTCATCTTTCCGTAGAGAGGCCAGGGTGAGGGGTTGGTCAAGCAAGGCCTTACCGCTTCCCTGACTGGTGTTCATTAGTGCTCTCATCTGCTTCTCTTGGTTAGTGTGCTTCGGTTGGTATTTTAGCTGAGAGGCCTTGGTGGTTGTTCTGCTTTGTGTACTGATTAGGCTGTGTAGGGGCTGGCTCTGCAAGTGTGTTATGCCTTGGAAGTACTTGGGTATTTATAAATTTTAAATTATTTGCTCATTTCTGTTTTGTTTTTTTTTTTTTTTTTTTTTTTTTTTTTTTTTTTTTTTTTTTTTTTTGTTTTGTTTTGTTTTGTTTTGTTTTGTTTTTTGTGGAACCAGGGATTGAACTCAGGCCTTTGTGCTTGCCAAGGAAGTGCTTATTCCACTGAGCCATCTCCCCGGCCCCTATTTGCCCATTTCTAACTATGCCCAAACTTTAAAAAAAAAATCACAAGAGTAAGACTAGTAATAAACAACTTTCTACCTGCCCTGTCCACATTGATTATTTAGAACTGTTTTCGCTTCTTCTTTGTCACATGCAGCCTGCTGTGTGTTCCTTCTTTCTCTGTCTGCTTTCGTATCTACGCAAACATGCACATGAGCACAGAATCTTTCCGTGCTCCTTGAGGTCGGTTACCTATAGCATATGTGTTGTCCCCAGATCTTGAGTTTTCAGGAAGTTATGTTCTGATCAAAAGTAACTCACACACATTTGAAATAACTGGAGCAAAATAGCTGGAGGAAAGCTGAAGTAAGGTGATTTAAACTGTTGGCCACTTAAGTTGTGCCAGCCTCAGGACAGATAGCTATTTTCTGAATGGTAGAAAACTCAGCTAAAACACTGTTCTTTCCTGTTTGAAATTTCCTTCCTTTTTAAATTTTTTATCCTACTTTCTAGTATTCAGCTTCACAAAAATTTTTTAAAAGTTTTTTTTGGTTTTTTTTGGGTGTTTTGTGGTAGTGCTAGGCACTAGATCCAGGACCTTGAGCATGCTAGGCCAACAGTGGTTACCACAGCTACATCTCCAGCCCTAAAAAAAATGTATATTTTAAAAATTAATTGAAATACATATTACAGACAAAAGAGACTTTTTTAATGTATTATTAGAGATAATAGCAAGTCTTAGACCTTATTTATGAAAAACAGTATTTGTGAAAGAAATGTTTTTAGGATATTTTTCTTTTCTTTACTTTCTTTTTTTTTTTTTTTTTTTCTTTGTACCAGGGATCAAATTCAGGACCTTGTTTCCAGGCAGGCACTTATACCACTGAGCTATCTCCCCAGCAATGCTATTTTTCATATGTAACAAAAATAAAGTGGGTTTTTTAAGGGAAAATTTACTTTGTTCAAGTAAATATATAATATTCTGAGTTGGGGGGGTGTGGATGTCAACTTTGTTTTATGACTAAATGGCCTTGCTGGGCTCACTGTGCATGAGCAAGCTGGATTCACGCAACTTGGAGGTGATTTTCTTTATGGTGGAA